CAGTGTGTGCCAGTGTCTGTGCGTGGTACAGTGCAGTGTGTGTCAGTGTCTGTTTGTGGTTCAGTACAGTGTGTGCCAGTGTCTGTGTCTGTGTGGGGTACAGCACAGTGTATGCCTGTGTCTGTGTGTGGTACAGTACAGTGTGTGTCTATGTCTGTGTGCGGTACAGTACAGTATGTCATGTTGCAATAAGTACCAGTATCTCTGTCCCTGCAGTCTGGGCTCACCCCCCTCCATGTGGCCTCTTTCATGGGACACCTCAACATCGTCAAGATCCTCCTGCAGAGAGGGGCGTCCCCCAACGCCTCCAATGTGGTGAGATCCCTCAGCTCTCCCCCAAATCCCCCAGATAGATTCTTATAAGCCATAGCTTTCTTTTGTCACGTGCAGACACTCTTCGACTGTGCAGTCAGTATAATAAAAAGAAATACCTCTCCTTTTCCTCATCTCCTTCCAGTTTTGCACAGTTAATGTGATTAGTACTGCTTGGGTCTGGTGCTGTTGTTGTTATAATAACTGCAATGATGTTTTGATTATTACTACCGTTAATTACCTTGCTGCAGTCTTCTGTCAGTGTGGAAGTACTGTAAGCCTTGTTGATCATTTCCTGTTTGTTTCTTTTCATCCTCCCCCTCTGCCCTTCTCTCCATTTCCTTTCTTCCTCTTTCTCTGATGACCCGGCCCCTTGTTTCCACCCCCCTCTCGCTCTCCGTCGCCCCCCGGTGGTGTGTGCGTGTTCGTGTGGCGGGGCAGAAAGTGGAGACACCGCTGCACATGGCATCACGCGCTGGGCACGCCGAGGTGGCGCAGTTCCTGCTGCAGAACAAGGCCCAGGTCGATGCCAAGGCCAAGGTACCCTTGCCCACAGAGCCACGAGCCAGTCTGCCTGCAGGGCAGAGCTGCAGACACAGAGATACCAATCAGGCAGACTGCTGCATTTATCCTTATTTGTATCTTCTGGACAGTTTGGGGAAGCACTAAAAAGACAAACAAAATGCTAGGACATATAGGTAAAAGCACAGAGTTTAAGTCATGGAGACAGATTGTGTAATGCGCAAGTAATTCCTAATTTTGAATATTGTGTACAATTTTGGGGGTGGCATGGCAGTGCCAGGGGTTACCAGTGTGGGGGCCCTGGGTTCAATTCCTGGGGTGCTCTCTGAGTGGAGTTTGGATGTTCTCCCCATGTTCGCTATGGTTTGCTCCTGGTGCTCCGGTTTCCTCCCATGGTCCAAGGCCGTTCTTGTAGGTTAATTGACTTCCATCACCCTGGCCCTGGTGTGCGTGTGCGACTGTGTGCCCTACTATGGGCTTGCATCCTGTTCAGGGTGTATCCTGGCTTGCACCCATTTGCCAGAATAGGCTCTGGATCCCTAGTGACTCTGTGTTGGATAAAGCGTTTACAATTTTGGTCACCACAGTTCAGAGAAGATATGGCTGCTCTGGAATCAGCCCACAGAAGAGCCATCAGACATATTCCAGGGCACTCATCCCCACCCCAAGTCCCCGCTGTGCGTGGAAAGAGCTCGTGGACACTTGCGCTAATGTGGTGCTTCTGTTGAATTAACTTTATAGCTTTTGAAAAGCATTTTCGCCTTCTGCTCATTTGACCTTTTATAGAAGCCAAATCTGCCTTGTCATTTTTTAAAGCAGGCAAGGATGTGGATTTCCCCAGAAAGCAGGAAAGGGAATTTTTTTTTTTTCCCTTTTCACTTTTCATTGCAGCTCATTTTGGATGTTATTTAAAGAAATGAAATGTGAGAAGTCTCTGAAATTTTAATGCCACCTATAAATATTAATGGCAGTATTAATAACTGCATGTAAATGCCTTGCCAACTTGTGTGTGGGCTCATCTCTTCTATGTAAAAACCCTCCGAGGTCCACAGTGGATTTGAGTAGTACTGTAGAAATTACATGATAACAGTTCCTAGTAAATAGAAACGGTCCAAAAGCTATTCACCTCTCAAGATGTACAGTAAGTATCCTCTATGTGCAGATACCAGGCATCTTTCATAAAGAACTTTAAGCCAACAGAAGACTGAAGAAAACAGCTTCAAAAATGGTTTTGTCTCTGCAAGACATAATTAGACCTGCGAAATTAAAACAAACAGTAGCACAAACCTACTTTCTTAGTCATCAGTGTTGTATTCACCCAAAGAGCTGAAGAGGTGACAGCTGTAAAATTGCAGCGGTCCTGTACTCCCTGCAGCACAGTACACAATAGAAAGGGCACCTCCTTGAGGTGAGGTCAGAACTAGTCTACCAGGGCTCTGCTGGCAGTGATGTCAGTGTGAGACAGGCCGCTGACTCTCCTGTAGGACACTCTGGAGCTCACAGCCCTGCTGCATGTCTGTGCACTATCTCCGGAGCGGGACAGGCGCTGCAGCTATCGAGAGGAGCCGTGTGCCACTGGCAAAACAGAAATATTGCAAATTTCCGTTTTAGAAAAAAAGACAAATTTGTGAGGTTAGAAATGTTCAGGTATGCAACCTGTCTTTCAAGACTTTATGATATTGAGCTTTCATCTCTCTTCTCGTTTGCCATCCTATCTCTACCTCTCTGCTGCTGCACCTTTTTTCCCATTCATTTTCGCTCTGCTCTCCCTTTCCCCTTCTCTTCTTTCCTCCTCTTCCTTCCTCTCTTTTTCCTCCTATCCCTTTTACCCCCTCTCTCCTTCCTTCCCTTCTACTCCTTTCTCTCTCTCCTCCTCTCCCCCTCTTTCCTCTTGCCTCTTTTCTCCCTCCCTCCACATCTCCCTCCTTCCCTCCTGCTTCTTATCTTCCTCCTCCTCTCTGCCTCCCTTTTCATCTCTCTCCCCTTCCCTCCTGCCTCTTTTCTTCCTCCTTTTCTCTCCCTCCCTTCTCGTCTATCTCTCCTTACCTCCTGCCTCTTCTCTTCCTCCTCCTCTCTCCCTCCCTTCTCATCCCTCTCTCCTTCCCTCCTGCCTCTTCTCTCCCTCTCTCCAGGATGACCAGACCCCCCTGCACTGTGCCGCCAGGATGGGCCACAAGGAGATGGTGAAGCTCCTACTGGACCATAAGGCCAACCCCAACTCTGCCACCACCGCTGGGCACACCCCTCTGCACATTGCTGCCCGCGAGGGGCATGCGGCCACCACCCGCATCCTGCTGGACAGGGAGGCGCTGCAGACACGCATGACCAAGGTGCCCACTTCCCTCCCTTCCTTTCTCATGCCCCCTGCTGGAAAGACCGCAGCAACTGCACTGCTTCCATTGCCTCCATGTCCCTGCTGTCCTGCTCTCTCTACTTCTGCCTGGCTGAAACTGACCTCACACCTCACGTCTTCCTTTACTTCCCCTCTGTCCTCCTCGTACCCCGACCCTCTTTCTTCCCCTCTCTGATCGGCTTTCCAGAAAGGGTTTACTCCTCTTCATGTGGCAGCCAAGTACGGGAAGGTGGACGTGGCAGAGCTGCTGCTGGAGAGAGGTGCCAATCCCAACGCCGCAGGAAAGGTGAGTGTTCCCATGGGTGAGGCGTGAACCAGCCACATTGCACTCTCACAGGAGTGCCATATATCTAGGAGCTGACCAGCTCCACAAGTAAGAAGAAGCAGCTTAGATTTAAAGGGAATTAATTTACAGAAGATTTAGATAAAATTCACTTCTGGCCCTGACCTGGCCCAACACCCAGCCAACACCCAACCAACACCTGGCCACCACCTGGCCCAACACCCGGCCAACACCCAACCAACACCCGGCCACCACCTGGCCCAACACCCGGCCAACACCCAACCAACACCCAACCAACACCCGGCCAACACCTGGCCCAACACCCGGCCAACACCCGGCCAACACCTGGCCCAACACACGGCCAACACCCGGCCAACACCTGGCCCAACACCCGGCCAACACCTGGCCCAACACCCGGCCAACACCCGGCCACCACCTGGCCCAACACCCGGCCAAC